GTCCCAGGGCACTGGGGCGGGCTGAGGCCGACCATGCCTAGCCTGCTGCTGCTCTTCACTGCAGCTCTGCTCTCCAGCTGGGCCCAGCTGCTGACGGATGCCAACTCCTGGTGGTGAGTGAGAGGGGCATTGGTCCTGCTCTGTACCCTAAGGTTCCTTGGGTAATCAAGGTGTGGGCAGGGAGCACCATGGGTTGTGATCACACCCTATCCATAGGAACGTGATAGGGCCTCTTGCATCGCAGGCAAAGTTGGAGAGCTTCTTTTTGCTCTCCAGTTCTTAGAGGTAAAGATTCCCTGAAAATAAAGGATTTGTTCTTTTTTTTTCTTAGATCCTGTTAACAATCCCTTTTTCTTGAACCTTTCCTTATCCTCATGAATTGTTATAAATAGCTTTTTAATTTTTATTGAGTTAATAAAAATATTGATAGCATGCAGGAGGCCCTGGGTTTGATCCCCAGAACTGGGTAGGGGAGGGATGGGAAAGAAGGAAAGGAAAAAGAGAGAAAAAACCCTATGAAACTGGGCATAGTGGCACATTCCCAAAGTCCCAGCTACTCAGGAAGCTGAAACAGGATGGTCACTTGAGTCCAGGAGTGCAAGGCCAGCCTGAACAACACAGAAAGACTCTGTCTCAAATGTTGGGCTGGGGCTATAGCTCAGTGATAGAGCGCTTGCCTGGCATGTGTAAGGTACTGGGTTCGATTGTTAGCACCACATAAAAATAAATAAAATAAAGGCATTCTGTCCATCTACAACTATAAAAAAAATACTTTAAAAAAACGTGTATGTTGATATCTGGGTGTTTGTTTGTTTTGCCAGCAGAGGCAGAAAGAGTAAAATTCCTGTTTTTATCAGTCTAAAGACTAGATGAGGGATTTGCAAGACCATGTGTGTCCTTTTGTATTTTTAAGATGACTGTCATTGCCAAGTAACATGGAAATGGCAGACGATCGCTACTTATTTTGCATGATCTGTGACCCACTTACATTTTTATTCAGATGGCAAGTCTGTAGCTTTCTCATCTAACTTAATGCTTTATTATGTCTAATGGATGATGAGAAAAAGGGAGATCCCTGAACTGATCAACAGTGGGTTAGGGCATGTGTGGAGTGAGATATGGAAGTGAAAATGTTTAGAATACATTGTGATGTGTGTACTTGGACTCCTATTTTAAAGGCATAGGGGATTCCATTGAAGGGAATTGATTTCCATCATGTACCCTGCATTAGGGCTAAACTGAACCGATCATTCCTACTCCTTGGACAGGCATGTGTCAACATTTGGCTCTTTTTGCCCTCTGCCTTGAATAAACAGCTGCCTGGCCACCCCACCTCCTTCTCTGTCTTTTCCCCATCCTTTAAGACCAGTACAAATTCTGGCCATCTCCTTATACAGGATTCTCCCTGGGGGAAGAGCTTTCCCTATATGATCATAGTAGATCCAGAATCTTGTCTGTCTTAGACATTTGACATCTCACGTATCATTTGTATTTATCCCTTGTGTCCTTTTAAGACTTGAACTCTGTTTTACTAATTTCCCCTTCTAAGTCCTAGGTCCTTCAGGGCCTGGTACCAGAAAACATCCCATAATTGTGTTAGCTGAATGACATTACACTGCTCACAGACACACACTCACTTCTTGTCCTCCCCGCCCTGCTTTCTGGATTGCTGTTGTAGGTCTTTAGCTATGAACCCGGTGCAGAGACCAGAGATGTTTATCATCGGTGCACAGCCTGTGTGCAGTCAGCTTCCTGGGCTCTCCCCTGGCCAGAGAAAGCTGTGCCAGTTGTACCAGGAACACATGGCCTACATCGGGGAGGGAGCCAAGACGGGTATTAAGGAGTGCCAGTACCAATTCCGGCAGAGGCGATGGAATTGCAGCACTGTGGACAACACGTCTGTCTTTGGCAGAGTCATGCAGATAGGTAAGAGACCACTTAAATATGATTTGGCCACAGGAACTGTGTTCATATTGGCTGGGTTCATTTAAGCTGTTCCAGGACTAGCGCATCAAGAGCCCAGATGGGGGCCTCCTTGGGTTCTTTCTAGGCTTGGCAGCAGCATGCAAAAAGGGAGAGAGGCAGGTACATAAAGAAGCAGCATTCTGGATAATTCTCCATGTCCCTGCAGCCTCTGCTTTCCAGCTTCACCCTGGCAGGCTCTATGTGACTCACCCTGGATGGAACATCTGAGTTGAGTTAGAGTGGCTTAGGAGACCCGCCCATCACCGCTGCTTTTGTCTCAAAGACAACAAGGGCCTCCCTTTTAGTCTTTTTAGAGTCTTGGGTAGAGAACCCAAAATTGCTGTCCTGAATAGCTGAAAGATGTTTGCCTCTTCCACTTGGACCCTCAAGAGACAGAAACTTTGGACCAAATTGGTGATAGCTGTCATTAACCCAACCCAGATCCAGTTTTAGCTTTTTTCATTTGAAAAGGTGTGTGTGGGGGGTGGGGGGGAGAGAGAGAGAGAGTGGGGGAAGGGGACAGACTAAAGAAGAAAGATGAGAGGGCCATGTCTTCCCGGATTCCTGTCCCTTTCTCTCCCCACTGCTGGTCTAGGATTCTTTGGCTGCCCTACTGCTTAGATAGAGGTGTGATCTGAGGTCTAATTGTTTTAGGTCCTTTTGAAATGCAATCCTCCCCTCCCTGGCAAGAAATCGAGAAATCCGGCCCTATTCTACTAGGTCTTATCCCCAGGGCCATAAAAGGAAGGTGTTGGAGCACTGTATTCTGTCCTGTCTCACATTCTCCCAGGACAGCTTCCCATCAGAAGGTCACATTCTGGAGTTACCTGTTGCTGGGCTTTCCCATTGGCAGGGGGGTTGGGGAGCCAGTGATTTAAAATCCTGTATTACCAGGGATGCTTGGGAGGCCCGATCCCCTCCCACTTATTCCAGACTTCTTTCCCCTATCCCATGTTGAGAAGTAAAAACAGGGGAAAGTTTACTTTGAACTTAACTGCTCATTCTCTTTTTGGGGATCAAGGTACATAGAAAGGAATGCTCCTGTGTTCCTGGGACAGCCTTAGGGGACAACTTTTCTGAAAGAGTGGACTTGGGGGTTAAGTGGGATTCACTCACAATTTGTGGATTCTTCTAGAATTCCCTTGGTATTCGTCCCTTCTTCCTGGTGAAAGTCTCAGCAGCATTCCCTATCCTGCCTTTGGGGTGAGGACACTAGCATGATCCCTGGGTCCACAGAGGCACTTCAAGGAATCAGACCATTATTGAGGCCCTAATGTGTGCCTGCCACTGTCTGGATCCTTTTATGTGCTATTTCATTCAGGTGAAGTCTAGAAGGTGTCGTTTTTTCTAGGAAATAAAGTACCGCAGCACTCTTCTGGGTTCAGATTGCGTGGCGGAATGACCCGTGGAAGGCAGCCCCATGGAAGAAAGCACATCCCACTGTACCCTCTTCTGTAACAAACTGGATGCTTTTCCCCACTCCTTTATGTAGCTTTCCTGAAGGCTCATACTTCCTGAGAAGCTGTCCTCCCTTTCTCCCACTGGCCCCAGACAGAGAGGCTCCTGTTGAGAAATCTCACTATCTGGCCTAGGACTTCCAAGAGGTTTCTTCCTTCTTTGAAGCTGCTGCAAAAGTCTATCACCAGAGGGCAGCAGTTGCTTGGAGGAGCCCTGGCACTTCACCTGGCCCCTGAGGAGCCCCGAGGCACCTTCCTGGCAGTTGGGCTGCTGTGGTAGTGAAAGGACACATGTGATGCTGTTCTGCTGTCTGCCTGGAAGAAGAAGATGCAGGGCCTAACCGGTAGCTCTAGGGCTGATGGTTTATTAGCCTTGTATCTTTGAGGTAGTTTGAGTTGTAACTCTGAGTTGTTTCACATATAGATAAGCCCCCTACATTGCTCCTCTGTTCTAAAGCCTCAAGTTCTTCTTCTGAAGGTAGCTCTAGTGCTTTGCTTCCAGAAACCTAAACGGAGCCCCATGCAGGCAGAGCTACGCACAGCCAGTGTCTAGTGATGTTGCCTCTCCTAGACCAACAGAAGTGACAGCTAATGCACCCAAGGGCATGTTCTGATCCCAAACCATTCTGAGGACTGGAACTGTCAGAGTGCATAGTATCTGGTGATATATAACACTCACCTGCAAATACATTTTATTTTAAAAGGCAATTCTGAGAAGGCTGATTCAACTCTGAAAGCATTTAGCTAAAGAATGGTAGAAGAAATCAGACATATGTAGCTTGGAAAAAGAAAGCATAAAAGGCATATTATTTGTTTTCAAACACTGAAGAACTGACAAATGGAAAAAGGATTAGACAGTGTCACTCCAGCAGGCAGAAGTTGTCGGGAGGCAGACTTTGGTTTTTTAATACGAAGAACATTCTGGTGATCAAGTCATTTTAAAAAGATGCAGGCTGGGTGTGGTGGCACATGCCTGTAATCCCAGGGAGTCAGAAGGCTGAAGCCAAAGGAACACCAAGTTCAAAGCCAGCCTTAGCAACATAGTGAGGCTTTAAGCAACTTAGGGAGACCTTGTCTCAAAAAATAAAAAGGGCTGGGGGTACAGCTCCGTGGTAAAGTGCCCCTGGGTTTAATTCCTGGTACCAGAAACAAACAACAACAACAAAAAGATGCAATGGTTTGCTTTGAAAGCCCCTCTGGCTTCCCTGAGGAATTCTGAACAAGGAATGCTGCCAGTGGATGGGCTGTAGCTTCAAAGACTCCTTCCCAGGACACCACATCAGGGAGTTGAGGCTACATTCTAGAAAGATTTCTCAGAGATGAATCCCTCAGAGTGGGACCCAACCTGCATCACCAAGAGGCTCTTTAGCCATCTTACCATCACGGTCCTCAATGTCACAGTCCTACCTCCCTAGACCAGATCCCTCCACTCTGTAATTCAGCACTGGTTCAAACATCCGTCCTGATGGCTGAATCATGAGCAGAACTTCCCGCCATCATTTGGGTTTTTCTTGGGGCATTCCTATTCCACTACTGACCAGAAGCTGGCCCCTGGTTAATTGAGAAAAACTGACTCACCCAGTGTGGTCTGGTTGTACACGTCATTGTGGTGCTGAGGTAATGAAGACGTAGGGCCAAGTGGGGGATCACTGCAGACCTTTTAATTGATGGAGACTGCTGCCGTCTGCATCTGCCAAGACGGGACCGTGGGACATCTATTTCTCACCTTGGAGATGTAGGAGAGGAAGAAAGAGAGAATAGAAAGTTTTGCCCAGTGCTGAGACCAGGATTGGACCTGTTTATTGCCAAGAACCACTCCCTACCTCCACATCTGTGTCTGCATAGGTATTATTGATTATTTCTTAAAACAGCTTTATGGAGATATAATTCACATCCCTTACAGTTTACTGTTTATTGTTGTTGTTGTTTTGTTTTTATAATTCATTGTTTAAAGTATACAATTAAATGGCATTTAGTATATTCTCAAGGCTTGCAACCATCACCAATAATTCTGGAACATTTTTATTACCCCATGGAAAAAGTGCACACCCTTTAACTGTCACTCACCATCCCCTTATCCCCCAGCCCAAGGCAACCACTAATCTGTCTCTGTGGATTTGCCTAGTCTGGATTATATACTATGTGGCCTGGCTTCTTTCATGTAGCATAATGATTTAAAGGTTCATCCATGTTGTAGCATGTGTCAGGACTTTATTCCTTTTATGGATGATAATATTCCATATTCCATTGTATGGATAATACCCTATTTATCCTTTCATCCATAGATGGATATTTGGGTTGTTTCTACTTTTTGGCTATTATGAATGACGTCACAATGAGCATTCATGTGTGAGTTTTCCTGTGGACATGTTTTCATGTCCTTCGGGTACATTCTTAGGAGTGGAACTGCTGGGTCATATGGCAACTCTATGTTTCGCCTTTTGAGGAACTGCCAGACTGTTTCCCAAACCAGCTGCACTATTTAACATTCCCGTCAACAGCACGGGAGGGTTCCTTACCCTTAACCAGCTTGTTATCAGCTGTATCTTTAATGATGGTCACCCTGGTGGATGTGAAGTCTCATTTTTATTTTTGATATGCATGTTGGAGGCTGAGCATTGTTTTTTGATAAACATTTTCATTGAAGTAGAACATAAATCATGGGGGGTAAGCGATTTGCTACAGAAATCAAAAGGAATATAGTTGGGATTTTCTGTTGGAAGTGGTCTGGATATTTTAGAGGGACCATTCTCAGTGTCTGAAATTGTAGGTGCCATTGGTGTGGTTCCCTACTGCTCTTGAGTTAGGAGGCAGTGTGGATCCTGTGGAAAAGAGAGGGAAACAGCTTGGACAGTGTGATTCTAGTTCACTTTCCATTCCTGGTCTCTGCCAGTACCTTGCTAGATAATGGCAGCAATAAAAAAGACAGATGTGTAGCTCACAGAGTGGTGAGGAATTGCATCTGTGAGGGAGACATTTTTGCTAGGATGCAGTCTTCTACTATTGATCCCATGATTTCTTTCTCCGTCTCATTCTGCTGGTCTCATGTGGTCCATAAATTTCTGGCTGCCATCCTCCCTCAACTGAGGTCTTCTCCTGGGAATCTTCGAGTCCTATAGACTTCTCTGTAATGAATATGAGTGGAGGCCAGGCCTGGGGGGATTCCTCTGATTCTGTGTGGCTTCCATAGGGTTGAGCTAAGGGCAAGAGGCAGGGGTTAAAAAAAAAAAAAAAAGGCAAATAGAGCTGTGGGAAGAGAAAGTGCCCCTCCAGACAGTGTTTCCTACCCCTGGGAGGGACACAGCAGAGGCTTATGAGGAAGGGTCTAGAGGAAGTGGAGAAGGCTCCGGGTGTAGCTCTGTGGCAGAGAGCTTGCCTCCCACGTATGAGGCACTGGGTTGGATCTTCAGCACCACATAAAAATAAACGCATAAAAAACTAAAGGTATGCTGTCCATCTACAACTACATTTTTTTTTTTAAAGAGGAAGTGGAGAAAAGGAAAGGCCTCCTTGACACCGTATTGTCTCCTCCTGCAGGCAGCCGGGAGACCGCCTTCACCTACGCTGTGAGCGCCGCCGGGGTGGTGAACGCCATCAGCCGCGCTTGCCGCGAGGGTGAGCTTTCTACCTGTGGCTGCAGCCGGACAGCACGGCCCAAGGACCTCCCCCGGGACTGGCTGTGGGGTGGCTGTGGGGACAATGTGGAGTATGGCTACCGCTTTGCTAAGGAGTTTGTGGATGCCCGGGAACGGGAGAAGAACTTTGCCAAGGGATCAGAGGAGCAGGGCCGAGTGCTCATGAACTTGCAGAACAACGAGGCAGGTCGAAGGGTAAGAAGGACCTCCACCCTCCCCTCCCCACACACCGCAGGCCAGTTGGCCCATCCTGGGCTGAGCCAGGAGCTGTGGCCTGGCCATGAAGGAAGTGTGCATTCGTCCAACCGAGGAGGACCTTACCGTTGCTGACCTAGGTACCATTATTGAACAAATCCCTCTCCCAAGGCTCCGCTTCCCATTGGCCACATTCAGTTGTCACTTTTTGTTGTTATTGTTTTGCTTGCTTTTTGAGGCAGGGTCTTGCTATGTTGCTCAGGCTGGTCTTCAAATTCCTGGGCTCAAATGATCCTCCTGCCTCAGCCTCCTGAGTATGTGCTGAATCTCATGCCTTGGTCCCAAATCTCATTTTTGAAACCTCATTTGTCACCTCATAGGACTTCTGTCCCTGTAGGACTTAGGTGTAATATTTGGAACAGGATTCTAGACTAATGGAGCAGAGTCCTTGTCCTGACCTGTCCTCCTTTGCAATTAAACAGAGAAGACAATTAGCAGTTTAGGCCATTAGACCTGGCCTAGGATTTATGATTTGTTAAAGGCTCAGGTAAGTCCCAGAGCTGACTTTTAAGAGCTGCTACTACACATATCCAGAACACCAGTTGAAAAGCATATTCAAACAAACATACTTTTCTGCTGGAAGTTTTTTATCTTTTTTTAATCTTATTTTTTAAAATATTTTTTAGTTGTCAATGGACCTTTATTTTATTTATTTGTATGCAGTGCTGAGAATCGAACTCAGTGCTTCACACATGCTAGGCAAGTGCTCTTCCACTGAGCCACCACCCCAGCTCCTGTATTCCTGTATTTTTTTTTTTTTATCTTGAGACAGGGTCTCCTGAAATTGCTGAGGCTTCCCTAAATTTGTGGTCCTCCTGCCTCAGCCTCCAGAACAGTACAGGTGTGTCAGGTCTCTGCTAGGAGGTTTTTTTTTTTTTTTTTTTTTTTTTTTAACAAGAGTGGAAATAAGAAAAGACAGCCATCTTTTTAAGGCTGCAGCACCCTGTCTCATCAATTTCAACTGAAAACAGCCACTTTCTAAGCTTCAATATCAGTAGAAGCTGAAATTAGGGGAGCTTGGCTTCTCATTTGTGCAGAACATTCTCGGGCAGTTTCCCTTTGTGGAGTGCCGAGAGCATGCCCCTTTTCTGCCTGCACCTTATTCATGAGCATCCTTCTCCAAGCATATGTCTGGCTCCGCCTTGGTCTGCCTCTGCCACAGGAAGCCTGCAGGCAGGAAGCTCTGCCTTTAGCTTGTTCAGTGTGGTGGATGTTGACAGGCACTGGAGGGCAATGTGACTGTGCCTCTAGGATTCCCCCTAGAAAGTGCAAAGGTCTGAACACTGGCAAAGTGCCTCTCAGGAAGCAGCACACATTTCTTCACTGGGATGTGTCCAGCCAGCTGACTGTGAGTCCCCAGTGAGGCGCCGCAGCAAAACCCAACACAAGCTTAAAAATAAGAACAGCAATTTCTTGAGAAGAAATAAGGTCAGAAGTTTAAGGTTGGTTCACTGGTGATTCAATAACAGGATATAGATATGTTTCTTAAAATGTCTTATATATCAAAAGTTATCTTCATATATCAAAAGTTCAAAACATCAACTGATGTTTTATAGGAGTACATATCAAATAAATGGAATTGGACATGTCTTTTCTATGAGTCGGGATCTTCTAATGTTGGCTTGTCAGGACTCAATACCTGTGTAGACCTAGCATCATCCACTGTGTGACATCAAGTAGAAATTAGACTTGGTTATTTGTCCATATCTTCCTTATATGTCCCATCCAAAGGCTAGTTGTTGTTTTTTTTTTTTAAGTCAGAAATGGGTATGTGGAGCTGAGTGTGGTGGCACACACCTGTAATCCCAACTGCTCAGGAGGCTGAGGCAGAAGGATCGAGTTCAAAGCCAGCCTCAGCAAAAGTGAGGCACTCAGCAACTCAGTGAGACCATGTTTCTAAATAAAATACAAAATAGGGCTGGGGATGTGGTTCAGTGGTCGAGTGCTCCTGAGTTCAATCCCTGGTACCAAAAAAGAAATGGTATGTGGGGAGGGGAGGTTGGTCTGTGACATTGGAGTTCTGGTCCTGGCTTTAGTCTGTGGTTATTATGGAGTAAGCTAGAGTAGAGAGATTGGAACTGTCCTAGATGACTTCCACTCTGGGTATCTTTTGAGCTGCCAGTCTCTCCAGGCCTCCTCTGTTTGGCAGTCCACCTGGGTGTCTAACTCAGGGAGCAGAGAGTGATCAGTGAGATAGGTGTATCTCCTGAATGCCTACCTTCTACCCATTCTCAAGATCCTAGCTAGGTGAGGTAGTCCCAGCTACTCAGGAGGCTGAGGCAGGAGAATCACTACAGTACAGGAGTATGAGACTAGCCTAAGCAACACAGCAAGACCCCGCTTCAAAAACAAAACAACAAAATAAAAGATCCTAGCTCAGCTTAGTGGGGTGGTGCACGCCTGTAATCACAGTGACTCTTGAGGCTGAGACAGGAGGAGGATAGCAAGTTCAAAGCCAGCCTCAGCAAAACTGAGGTGCTAAGCAACTCAGTGAGACCCTGTTTCTAAAGAAAATACCAAATAGGCTCAGTGGTCGAGTGCCCCTGAGTTCAATCCCTGATTACCCCCACCAAAAATCCTAGCTCAAATACCACCTAGTCCTTAACATCTTTTGCATTTCCCTTAGTCTCACATTTGAACTCAGTGGATTGTTTTCATACTTTTCTTGGTATCTTATCTCTCACTCTATTTTTACCTTATTCGAGGACAGGGATTGCCATCTATATTTCTTTACAAGAACTGGTGAACACATGTGACGAGGCAAAGAGAAGTTCCCATATTCCCCCCCTAGTAAGAGGTCAAATTCATGGAGGAGGCCGCTTGCAG